TGATACTTATACGCGTGTCCACGCTCGAATGACCAGTGGACGTGTGTGATTGACTGGATCACACGTATTAAAGTGCTGGAGTTGATGACATAGATCCAACTGGCTGGCTTGATCACAGGTGTAACAGAGACTTAATCACACCTGTCTAAGATGCGACCAGAATACAAAAAACTAATTGTCAGGTTGACCCGCTATCGTTCTTTTCAGTTGAAGAAAGGTGAATTAAAGGTCGATATGGGGGGGGGGACGTGTTTTTCTTTTGTTCTTTGGGGGAGGGGACAGTCAGGTGGGGGTAGCACCTACCAATAGTATTTAGTGATTTACAGCCACCCTCAGCCGCCATTTTGGGGAGTCGTTGAAGAGGTTTTATTGTGCCCCGTGGGGTCAGGGCCGGGGCAAGTGTACGGGGAGAGCCGGGCAAGTGTACGGGGAGGGCCGGGCAAGTGTACGGGGACAAAAGCCCAAGTAGGTCGCCTGGTTTTATTGCCACACTCTGGCCTCGGTTTGGTGGTGGTGAGTCTGGCATAAGTCACGTGATTCGGTGTGTGCTTACGTGTCCGGTTGTTAGGGTCGTTTACCTCGTCGGTTCCCGCACCCCGGGGTGGGGGGGGGGGGGGGCAGTATTTAGGGCGTCGTATGGAAATGACTTGGGGTGTTTGGAGCGTCGTGTAGGAAGTGACTGGAGTGATTTGTGACTTTTTTCCTACCTAAAACTGTAACTTTCCGTGACTTTTTTCCTAGCTAAAACTGTAACTTTCCGTGACTTTTTTCCTACCTAAAACTGTAACTTTCCCTGACTTTTTTTCCTACCTAAAACTGTAACTTTCCCTGACTTTTTTCCTACCTAAAACTGTAACTTTCCCCGACTTTTTTCCTAGCTAAAACTGTAACTTTCCCCGACTTTTTTCCTACCTAAAACTGTAACTTTCCCCGACTTTTTTCCTACCTAAAACTGTAACTTTCCGTGACTTTTTCCCTAGCTAAAATTAACTTTCCCCGACTTTTTTCCTACCTAAAACTGTAACTTTCCGTGACTTTTTCCCTAGCTAAAATTAACTTTCCCTGACTTTTTTCCTACCTAAAACTGTAACTTTCCGTGACTTTTTTTCCGGTGACTTTCTTACACTGATCACCGTGGCGGCGTAGACTATCAAAGAGCTGACAATCATGCACAGTTGTTGTCGTTCAATCCGACGACGACCTGTGGTCGAAACGTCTTTGTTTTTTTTTTTTTGTTTTGTGAGATGTAACTTTCCTACTTAAAAAAAACTTTGTCAAAGATGACGTAGATGCAGGTGTAACATTTTTACAACCCTACCTTGACCAAGTAACTCGAAAGTTTTTAGAAGTTACAGTCCGTAAAGTAAAAAAAAAAAATTATTAGAACTCACTGGAGTCCACTGACTCAAACACTCACTGACTCCTGACCAGCGTCACACTCTTGATTAAACGTGTGTAGACGCATGAGTTAAAACCTCAACTTCACCTACCAAGTTAACACACCTCGTGGCGTGTGTAGCAGATGTGTCGGTTCGACACACGAAAATATTTTTTTAATAAGAGGAGATTAAGTGATAACACGGGATGGGCTTAATCCACTTGGGTCTTATTACAATATTCCTCGCATCACCCATAAGCCTTGAATCCAATACAAAAAGTCTCGCTTAATCGAGAGACCCCGTTCAGAGTACTGGCGGATGTGAATATCCGAATACGATCTTTTAACGAGATAGGTATCGAGGGTTTTTTTATCGCACGAACTGACGTGGGTAATATTAAGAGTAGTTCTTGGTGGTGAATTAAAAGAAAGTATATGAAACATTTAATATTAACTTTTCGCGTTGGTTGAATGTGTATGTAATAAAAATAGAAATGTTATGTTATGAATATCCGTTGGTTTCTCTCCCCTTTACCGGCCAGTTCTCTGTAAGCGGAGCGTGCATGTTATTGTCAATCAAATCGGTTGCGTCTGCCTGGTGATCTCGCTGTCCGGACATCTAGACACAAAAAATACTTTAATATTGGGATACGCCTTTGTTTATCAGCGAATTTTTCCGTTTATCAGCGGATTTTTCCGTTTATCAGCGGATTTCCCCGTCAGTAAAATTGACACAGCTCGCAATTCTTCATTTCGTTATTAAAACAAGTCGATGGGAAATTGTTTTCTGAAGATTTTCATAACTTTTGTTACGCCAAGAAAAAATGGACGTTCCATTTTTCAATCAGACGAGAGAAAAAAATGTAAACCTACAAAGTTGATAACGAGATTAGTTCAGTGTCTGCTGCTAGTCTAGTTAAAACGGTTCTACAGAAACAAATACATGTTTTTTGTTCTGACTTGAATTTTCTAAATACTGGGTGATATTGAGATAATTTGATTTTTCCTATCTCGATATTACTCTGGTTGACAGAGGGTTAATATTGTCTCTAGATATGAAATTAGGACGTCATGAGTTAATGTAGTTTCGAGATATTACTCTGGTTGACAGAGGGTTAATTTAGACTCTAGATATTAAATAAGGAAGTTAGGAGTTAATGTAGTTCGAGATATTACAACAGGTGCTAGAGGGTTAATGTAGACTCTGTAGATATAACTTTAGGACGTCGGTCTCTTAGATGGAGGGATAATATAGACTCTAATACATTAGGACGTCATGAGTTAGTGTAGCGTCTAGATATTACTCTGGGTGGCAGAGGGTTAATGTAGACTCTTGGCATAATACATTAGGACGTCATGAGTTAATGAAGTTTCGAGATATTACATTGGGTGCTAGATGGTTAATGTACGCTCTCTACAATACATTATGAAGTCGGGTAGTGTTTCTATATTACGTGAATAACAGATAGTTATTGTATAGTAAACTGGATTAGCTATTCACTTGATAGAACCACGCAGTGGGTTGGTTAGGGTTAATGTTTGCTTAACACAAACTATAGCTAGAGATCCCAAACTCCCTTGTTAATGTCCTCGATGGGGGGAGGGGGGGGGGCAGAGATCATATTACTGACAGGATTAAGATAATCCTGTTTTCTCGTTTTTGTGTCGTCATATTCATTACCTTTCCCGATCGTCTTTTCTCCCTGTTCTACAATGTATTGTCTCCCCTTTCAACAATGTCTTGACTCCCCTTGCCGAAACGTCTCCACTTTTCGAAATATTTTTTTTCCGCTACCTAAAATCTTACCATTCTACTAAAGAAAATTCTAGTTAGAGTGATGCGATGGTTTATAGTTTATTCTGAAATTTAAAAAAAAAAAAAGATATTTCTAGATCATTCTTCATCAAACGGAGACCCCCACGGATGGCCAAATGTCCTCTATACCACGTGATTGAGTCGTCGTTCCCCCCCCCCCCCCCCCCCAACAAGCCCCCCTCTATTGGATGATGAACCGGATTAAAACCTCCATTCCCCATGCATAGGATATCTAACCATTCTTGGCCGAGCCCGACTCGAGGGCTGCAAAAAAAAAATACTCTCAAATCTAATTGTAAGTTTTCAAATCACCAATCCAATTTGAACATTTTCCCGATGGCGAGCTTTTTGATTATGTTGAAACGTTTATGCATAAATAAATCAAGAAGAGGGAGGGGGGGGGGCTCTGTTTTGATTGTTCAAGTAGGCCATTTTCTAATTGCTGCAGCAGTCTGTAACTGAGATATGATTGGTCGGTTTGACGGATCCGAGATATGATTGGTCGGTTTGACGCAACCAATTATTCGGAGTGGGGCTGGTTTTGAGAGGACTGGAGGCCATTTTGGAAATGAGGTTTTTATGTGATTTATCTATTATTGTTGCCGGGAGTCTAGATAATAAGATTCTATACAGCCAGTTAAAACATACTCGCGTCTTCGTGGGCACGTTGGTTTAAAGGGGGGAAAACTCACTCTTTTTAAATAAGGGGATACAACTCGTAGAATAATTAAGTGTTCATGTAAAAAAAATGTTTTAAATATTTGAATATATAAATACAGTTCGTTTAATATCGTCTATTGTAAAACTTTTTTTATCCAGTTTTTATGAAAGCGGGTTGCATAGAATGGTTGTCAATAGCCGGGTTGTCCACAAGCGAGCCGTCATATTTTGTTTGCTGGCATTTGCCTGATTGGAGTGCCAGATAATCGTTTTGATCACTGGGGAATCGATTCCACTAATATCGCGATTGTCGGGAGTCCTCCGTCGATTCCCCTCATCAAAGCGCGTGTTTTCTTATCAAATTAAAAATCCTTTTACATTGGGCCGCTGTTTAGTTTAGCCAATAGCCGGCTAATGGGGGGGGGGGGGGGGGGGGCTGCTGGCAACGTGCTAGTTGGTGCAGTCGCTAGTTCGGTACTCGCGACTGGGTTCGAATCTAACGCAAGTTTAAAGTGGGGGTTTTCTTTTCTACCATAAACAGAAAAAGTTAAATAACATACATTTAATAAGGGATAGTTGGGACAGCGTGGTTGGATTGTAGAGCGTTCGGTTACTAGGCTGAAGGTTTCGAGTTCAGATCTCGGTCAGGACTCGGGACTGTAGGACGTCCCTGAGCTAATCCAGCTCATATGGGTACCTGACATACGTTGGGGAAAGTATAAGCGGTTGGCCATAGTGCTGGCTACATCATGCCGAGATCAAGAAACATAGAATCTCTACTTCATCTGCCCTATAGATCTTTAGATGTTAAAGCAGAGTATTACTTCTTTTAAGGAATAGTTATTTTATAAAAATCTCTTTAAGATTAAAAAAACGCCATTTCGTCTTTTTTTTTAATCGTTGAACGTCCTTTTTTATATTGTCTATAGAAGAGACACTCGAAGCCTCACAGTTTTAAATATATAGGACACATAAAAAATTAGAATCAAAACAAATGCTTAGGATTGAACTGTGATTTAACATGTTGGTCTTCTTGAATCCAACACAAAAGCCCAGCGTTATACATCGTTGGTTTTATAAAATTATAATGGAGATAGTTTTTTGTGTATGTCATAACTTCATTTATTTTATTTTTTTTACTTTCAGCAACCTCGTGAAATCTATCGAACAAAAGTTTTGACCATCATACTTCAAGTCGGCACTTGCTTATGGATGTGTAGGACCCCAGCGATGACCAGCCGGTGACGTGTCTCTGTCCATCCTCACCCCCACCGAGTCCCGCCCCGGCCCCACCACGGAGAACCCACACCACATCCACTTTCAGGACACCCGCCACCGGATATTCCAGTTCTCCCCCAACGCGCAGATGATGGGCCCAGGCGGCCCCGGGGTGCCCAACGGCGCGGTCACCGTCAACCAGTCGGGGGTGCCCAAGTCGTGCGCCGGGTGCGGCGCCCGCATCCAGGACCGGTTCCTGCTCCTGGCCATGGAGCGGTACTGGCACACGGGCTGCCTCAAGTGCTCGTGCTGTCAGGCCCAGCTGGGAGAGATAGGGACCTCCTGCTTCACCAAGGCCGGCATGATCTTGTGTAGGAACGACTACATCAGGTAGGCGATGGTAGGGTCAAGTGGTCAGCACTGACCAACTGGGGGGGGGGGTGCCATGGAACATGTGTTAAATACATGAATACACATACCCACATCAGGTAGGCGATGGTTGGGTCAAGCGGTCAGCACTGACCAACTGGGGGGGGGGGGGGGGTGCCATGTGTTAAATACATAAATACACATACCCACATCAGGTAGGCGATGGTAGGGTCAAGTGGTCAGCACTGACCAACTGGGGGGGGGGGGGTGCCATGTGTTAAATACATGAATACACATACCCACATCAGGTAGGCGATGGTAGGGTCAAGTGGTCAGCACTGACCAACTGGGGTGGGGAGGTGGGATGCCATGTGTTAAATACATAAATACACATACCCACATCAGGTAGGCGATGGTTGGGTCAAGCGGTCAGCACTGACCAACTGGGGGGGGGGGTGCCATGTGTTAAATACATAAATACACATACCCACATCAGGTAGGCGATGGTAGGGTCAAGCGGTCAGCACTGACCAACTGGGGGGGGGTGCCATGTGTTAAATACATAAATACACATACCCACATCAGGTAGGCGATGGTAGGGTCAAGTGGTCAGCACTGACCAACTGGGGGGGGGGGGTGCCATGGAACATGTGTTAAATACATGAATACACATACCCACATCAGGTAGGCGATGGTAGGGTCAAGTGGTCATCACTGACCAACTGGGGGGAGGGGGGATGTCATGTGTTAAATACATGAATACACATACCCACATCAGGTAGGCGATGGTTGGGTCAAGCGGTCAGCACTGACCAACTGGGGGGGGGGTGCCATGTGTTAAATACATGAATACACATACCCACATCAGGTAGGCGATGGTAGGGTCAAGTGGTCAGCACTGACCAACTGGGGGGGGGGGTGCCATGGAACATGTGTTAAATACATGAATACACATACCCACATCAGGTAGGCGATGGTAGGGTCAAGTGGTCAGCACTGACCAACTGGGAGGGATGTCATGTGTTAAATACATGAATACACATACCCACATCAGGTAGGCGATGGTAGGGTCAAGTGGTCAGCACACATGTGTTAAATACATGAATACACATACCTACATCATGTAGGCGATGGTAGGGTCAAGTGGTCAGCACTGACCAACTGGGGGGGGGGGGGGGAATAGGCCATGGAACATGTGTTGAATACACATACCCACATCAAGTAGGCGATGGTAAGGTCAAGCCGTGAGCATTGACCAACTGGGGGGGATGTCATGTGTTAAATACATGAATACACATACCCACATCAGGTAGGCGATGGTAGGGTCAAGTGGTCAGCACTGACCAACTGGGGGGAAGGATGCAATGGAACATGTGTTAAATACATGAATACACATATCCCCACCACCAATGTAGTTTTGAACCTGAAGGGCAGTCATTTTGTAAAATACACATATCCTGATAGAGAAGTTTTAGAACACAGCGCACACAAAATACACATAACTCACTAGATTTTTCATCATTAGAAGGAACATTGCACACCATATACACTTTACATAATAATATACACCACACACTATGTCAGTTTTAACACACATTTAGACCCCCACCCACACATACTTAAATACTGCACATACACAGTGTTTCTTCCAGACCTTTTTCTCGGGGGTGGGGGGCGGACACTGGTAAAAGTATTTGTTTTCTATATAAATTCCATTTTGTTGGCGGAGGTGCGGTAGACAGGGAAAAACTCTGCACATACACTACATATTTAGACGCATACCCCACACACAGATACACCAAACAAAAACCACTACACGTAATTTAACAGCTCCCAATGTCAGTCATATACCACATATACTTATACACACACACATATATAAACACCACACACAACCACTCTTACATCTATTACAAGGTTTCGTGAGTTCAATTAGTAAAACGTTAAAATAATTAACTCAACCGTCTCTCGCCGCCTATTTAACCCTAACAAAGTTAACCCTAACAAAGTTAACCCAACAATGTTAACCTTGTTCCCGTGAAGAAAGAATTATCACAGTTTCACACGACCTTTGTGAACTAAAAAAACAAAGAACTAAAAAGGGAATGAAAGTGTACACGATAGTAATGGTAGACATTTTTTTGGTCCCACTTTAATGGTCACGCTTTTGTGGTCCCATTTTTGTGGTCCCACTTTTGTGGTCCCACTTTTGTGGTCCCACTTTTGTGGTCCCACTTTCTGGCCGCACATTTTGTCTTATTTCGGATTCTCCATTACCGATTCCAATTGAAATCTTGAAGAGCTTTCCAGTCGCTATTGGATGGCCTGGGCTATTGGATGGCCAGGGCTATTGGATGGCCTGGGTTATTGGATGGCCAGGGCTATTGGATGGCCAGGGCTATTGGATGGCCTGGGCTATTGGATGGCATGGGCTATTGGATGGCCTGGGCTATAGGATGGCCTGGGTTATTGGATGGCCAGGGCTATTGGATGGCCAGGGCTATTGGATGGCCAGGACTATTGGATGGCCAGGGCTATTGGATGGCCAGGGCTATTGGATGGCCTGGGCTATTGGATGGCCTGGGCTATTGGATGGCCTGGGCTATAGGATGGCCTGGGTTATTGGATGGCCAGGGCTATTGGATGGCCAGGGCTACTGGATGGCGAGGGATATTGGATGGCCAAGGCTGTTGGATGGCCAGAGCTATTGGATGGCCAGGGCTACTGGATGGCCAGGGCTATTGGATGGCCAGGGCTGTTGGATGGCCAGAGCTATTGGATGGCCGGGGCTATTGGATGGCGAGGGCTATTGGATGGCCAGAGCTATTGGATGGCCAGGGCTATTGGATGGCCAGGGCTATTGGATGGCCAGAGCTATTGGATGGCCAGGGCTATTGGATGGCCAGGGCTATTGGATGGCCAGGGTTATTGGATGGCCAGGGCTATTGGATGGCCTGGGCTATTGGATGGCCAGGGTTATTGGATGGCCAGGGCTATTGGATGGCCTGGGTTATTGGATGGCCAGGGTTATTGGATGGCCTGGGCTATTGGATGGCCAGGGTTATTGGATGGCCAGGGTTATTGGATGGCCTGGGCTATTGGATGGCCAGGGCTATTGGATGGCCAGTGTGTTGATAATGTATTGTTCATGTACTTTAATGTAAAAACTCCAGTTTTACTTAAAACACTACCACGTGATCTTACCTTTGAACCCGAGCTATGGTTGAATAAGTACCCGCCCCACCTCCAGTGTAATTGACCTAAATCCTCGCCATCAAATAATTGATGCTAATTGCCTGTTATGATGAAACATATTTTTAAATAATTGAACCCACTCCGCCGATGACTCATACCATCTGGGGAAAATGCTTTTAACGAAAATGTTTTAAAGTTATTTAAAGAGGGGGGGGGGGGTTCATCCCTAATGTACATAACACAGCGCGCGGTGGCATTCATGCCCTCGCTAAAAGATCCATTTGGATAATAGTAATGCTGCTGGGCACAAGTTACTCGTTCAGGCTAGGCTTAGTGAAAATATTTATATTTGAGAATAAACGGCAAACGACTGTAAAATATCAGGGGGTGGGGGGTGTACAGGCGGGGGGTGGGGGCGTGAAAAGTGGGTGCATTACAGAGAGGAGCAGGGAGTAATAATGAACGTAATGAAATAGTTGAGAATAGGAAATGTCATTTGTCCGATGGCATTCCAGCTCCCCCTCCCCCTGGGCCAGGCAAGACATCCATCGCTGGCTTTTATCATGATTAAAACCTTTCAAATTAGAACAATTCATTAAAAACCGGCGGAATTGGAATCCATTATGGCGTCCAATGCTCAAAACGATTGTTAGGGGAGATTACAGACGAGGCCCAGACGAGGGCTGGTTTTTTTTTTTCTAATCCGTGACTTCTTCTGCTGCGTTTGGTGGTGCTAGGGGTTTGGTGGGTGTAAGATGTAATCGTTGGATGGGTGTAAGGTGGTAGGGTTGGGTGTAAGGTGTTTAGGGGTTGGTTGTAAGCTGCAGTCGTTGGTTGGGTGTAAGGTGCAATCGTTGGTTGGGTGTAAGGTGGTGGGGTTGGGTGTAAGGTTGTAAGGTTGGGTGTAAGGTGTTTAGGGGTTGGGTGTATGCTGCAGTCGTTGGTTGGGTGTAAGGTGGTAGGGTTGAGTGTAGTCGGAGTGTAAAATGTTTGGGGGTTGGGTCTAATATGGGCGGTCGGGTGTTAGATTGTGGGGTTTATTTAATGTCATTGATTGATTTTCTTTTAAGATTTGTCTGTTGTGTTAGTTTTCCATGTTGGTGTTTTGAGCTGTTTATTGATGGGTGGGGTTTTTTGGGGAGGGGTGTTGGTGGTTGGGGTTTATTGGTGGTTGGGGAGGAGTGTTGGTGGTTGGGGTTTATTGGTGGTTGGGGAGGGGTGTTGGTGGTTGGGGTTTATTGGTGGTTGGGGAGGAGTGTTGGTGGGTTGGGATTATTGGGGGTTGGGGAGGGGTGCGGGTGGTTGGGGTTTATTGGTGGTTGGGGAGGAGTGTTGGTGGTTGGGGTTTATTGGTGGTTGGGGAGGAGTGTTGGTGGGTTGGGATTATTGGGGGTTGGGGAGGGGTGCTGGTGAATGTGACTTTGGCTTCCCGGTTTTCAAGGCATGCACATTGGGTCTGTGATTAAACTGGTTAGGGTTAGAGCTTAGATAGGATTATGTGTATCAGGTCGTCAGGTCGCTAGTTAAGCTAAACTAGTCACACGCTTATTCATCTGAAACATTCTCGTATGAACTAGATGACCGCCGTCAATTTAGAAATACCATGGCCACACCCACCTTCTTACAATACCCACCTCACCTTCAATCCTCTCTCCCTCATTATCGTTCATATAAATACAATTATTTTTTTTAAAAACAATCTCTCCTTCCCCCCCCCCCCCCCCTCCCATACACATACACATAGTAAATGCACACACGCTGAAAATTAAAACAATCACTACCACACATACACACAAACTAATTAACTAACTAACTACACTAATTAA